TAACTCAATTTTTGGCGATGAATCCGCGTCAAGAACCAGTGTTTATTGTTGGTATGGACAACTCAATCGAGGTCGTAGATATCTTCAAAATGAATATCAATTCGTATAAATGTAGTTGTTTTTCCGGAAACTTTTTATGCTACGCCCAAACTGATATTGCGAGGCCGTCATGTGATCTATCGAGAGGTATTAGGTATTATTGGGATCAGTATACACTGTCTCTTATACACATCTAGATGTGTATAAGAGACAGTGCCTGTAGTATTGGTATAAACTCACTGCCTGTAGTATTGGTATAAACTCACAGTCTCTAGGTCTATAAAATCTTCATTCTTCAAAGGCATTTTTGTGCATCTGCCTTTACAATAAAACCACACTTCCGCTTCAGAGTAGCGCTTTGCCACTCGCTAATTGTGTCTATGATGCAAAGAGAATGTGCGCCAATTGCCAACCACAATGCCCTTGGCGGCGAAATATGTATGTACATATGTATGTACATAGGTAGGCATGGCATGGGTGTAGCTGTGGGTGTTGCGKTGGGTGTATGACGCGGTGCAATTTTCCAGTTATTAATCTCGCTATGCCAAACTAATTTCCCTAATTCGTCAACACTTAACTGACGCACTGATTGTTTGTGTTGTTGTTGTTGTATGGACTTGTGTGTCGACTTCAGTTGTGATGGTTTGAAAGCAACAAAGAAAAAAAGCTTTGCAGCACTACAAWGAGTTTGGCACGCTTTTGCGACACGGTTGTAGCAACAAAAAACGGTGTGTGTGTGCATGTGTGAATGCTGCGAAAACGTAATATTTAAGTAATGTTTTGTTGTTTATGTCTTTTTGAAACTTTCCGTTTTTGTTTTTTTTTGGTTTCGTCAAGATGATGTGTCATTTCCTAATCGGCAAATTTTAGGCTTGGCGTGTTGCTAATTCCTTGTTGTCGCAATGTCGTTGAGTTTGCGCCCGCAAATGAAATTATTTAAGCTTTTCGCATTTGCGRTAAATTAAAGTAATTTTGTAACTTTTTAGCACGCGCCTCACATTTGTTTATTTGCTAATRGCATTATTTAGCGCTCATCATATTATCTACACATTTATTTATGTACATTTATTTATGTCCATTTATTTATATTATATATTTAAATATCATTTTATATAAATTTTAATTTTTGGCTTTTCTTCAATCTTTCCGCAGCACACAAATACAGCTTGCAATAGCAGCAGCAGCAGCAGTTCCACCAGCACAACAACCACAGGCAGCCCAAATATAAATAATAAAAGCTCAAATTCCACAATAATMACAAGAAATTGCCGCCAATACAGCTCGGTGCACACACAGCAGCCGGCTGGTCCGGTGCGAGAGATCCAAATCGATCCGTACATCATACTCGAAGACGATCTGAAGTATTTCTACGATGATGTCAGAGACGTAAGTGTCGCTATGAATCACTCTTAGAGATACGTACCTCAGCTGTTTATAGTAACAGGATGTAATGATTTATTGCAATTTCATTTTGCTGGTCAGGCGTCTAAGTGTGTGTGAAATGAGGAAATTAGCATGAGTTYTAGTATAGCAATGACGGGCGCAGATGTTGTTTTTCAGTGATTTTCAAATACTGCCAATAATTATTTACTATTGACTATTGTCTTTGAGAATTTAATTCTATATATCTAAACTTATTTACCACATGCCACTCAGGGGAAATTAAAATTTAATTTAAATTGTTTACAAACTATTATTTGTAAATATGTATGCCGTAAGCCCTGGCAGCTAGTGCTTCTTACTCCGTAAGATAATAATCGTATTATTATTTTTCATTTAATAAATAAATAAATAAATAAATGTAGAGTCACTTTTATCAGCTCACCGAGCGACCAACCACGTCCCACCAATTTGTAGCTTGGTTCTACTGAGCTGTTTATGAACTCACTTAATGTCTCCAGATAATATTATACTTTATTTTAAAATATTTTGGTTTACGTTAACATTTATTTATTTGTATAATTTTTGGCTATTTTAGGAATTAGTTTTTTGTATCCATATAACTCGGCTGAGTCTTAGATGTATCGAATTGTACAATGTAACTTTTAGTTAATTTTTTTCCTTAGAACTTTTTTGATTTCTAATAGTTACAGTTACTGTTTTTAAATTTCAATTGATCTTAATACGTGCATTGCMTTTTATATTTCGRGATTTGGCAATCCTACTGTTAAATCTGGTAACTCACAACTGTATCTTAAAGTTATTTATATATTATACATACTCAGAATTTTTGATATACGGACGCATTGGTGTTGTTTACAGT